TTTGTGGTGTTCTGAGATTTGTTCTTGCATTTCAGTATTAGAGAGATGTGTGTAAGCTGCCTTTGATTTCTGCATCTATAAAGAGGCCCAGTTTGCTCAAATGGCAGAGGACAGCTTCCTCTTCAGAGAACTTGCTTTCACTACTTTCATATGTACTGGTAGATGAAGCGTGCAGTCACAGAAAGTGAAGTGTCAGATTTTGCTGGCTATTTGATCTGATTATATAAAGAGCTTTTAAAAGGCAGCTTTCATCTTTTTACCTGACTGTACTTGCAAAGTTCTCATTATTTGCTTCGTCGGTTTGTTTTTCAAAATATAAGGGCTTTCTCTAGATAAAGATGTATATTTTTCCCTCTTATTTTTTTTTCTTAAAACTGACAAATGGATAACAGCAAAGGATCTGAAAGTGATATCTGTAGTAATTCATAAATAAATGCAAATAAAAAAATACAAATATGGCAGGGTGGCTACTCTTTTCTAAAATATGAAGACATTCAAAGACTAAGAATTGTTATTCTCTCTGTGATTGCCTTCATTTCATATTGTTCTTCAGCAATGTTTTCAGTTATGCCAGTTTTAATATGAAGGGAGTGTTTCTAGTGTGGGTAGGGATATGGTTAGACCTACAGTTTTGTTTGGTTCTTGAACTTGGGTGCCATGCTTCTTTGCATTTCCCTTATCCTCTGCATTTTCTTGCAGCTCTTGGAAACAAGTCAAATGCTGGAATACTTGTGGTAACAGCTCTTCAAGAAGAGTGGAAAGAGAAAAGCGTTTGTGTAGTTCTATGTGCTAATGACAAAGCCAGTGCCTGGAGTTTGTTGCAGGCAAACAACCACCAAAGTGGCTGATAGTTTAAGGAGTCTGTATCTGAAAAAGATTGGTAGATTTACAGAGTAAGGGGGACATTTTAAATGCAGAGATTGTTTTGAGGAGAAAGTGTATTTCAGTTTACCACCATGGAGAGTATCCATCTAGTGTTAACTATATGTGTAATACACTGAATTAGAGTCAGTGGCAGTAAACTGAAAAATCTGTCTTGTGTCTGCTTTGATCCAGATCCACAGTCTAACTGACTATATGTGACTGAAGAGAAAGAACAGAGAAAGTCTGAGGATGAATTTCTATTTCCTGATAATGATCACTCTGTGCCAAACAGAGGCAAGTTGTGGAGTCCCAAAGTATTCAGTGACTTTTAAAGACTGTAAAGATGGCATTGGTTTTGCTCTGATTTTTGAAAGCTCTGTAGATCTGTCGCAGTGTTTAAGAGGTAGCTAACTACAATGTCTGCAGTACAACCATGGTGGGTTGCACCTGTAGAGATTCAGAAACTGCACACCCTTTGCCTTGGCCTGGTCTGTGAGCAGGGATAGGGGCTGGCAGGGGAACCTTGTGCACTCATAAGTTCCCTTATATTTTTGACAATTCCTCTTGTGTTTGCTTACATTGTTTTTTAGATCATTTACCCTCAGACTTGAAATAATCAATCCAGAAGTCTTGAAAAACTATGGTATATTCTATTCAGCTTCTTTATTAATTGCAGAGAGATTTCCTGTAGTACAAGGAAAAGTAGTGAGAAAGTAGTGAGAAATTAGTTCATTTTAAAGCTTTGATATTCAGTGCAGCATCATTTTGTCATTTCATTCAGCTGTGGTTTTTATAAAGTAGACTTTTTGTCTTTTTTTTTTGTCTTTTTGTACTCTGAAGCACTCAGCATCGTAGGTGGTTGCAAATGCACATTTGGGTTGCATTTTAAGGCTGGCAAGAGAAGGATTTTGCCATCTGGTCTTGAGAAGTGCTTAGCATTTCGAACAAGACGTTGGATAAAGTCCAGTGAAGGTCACTGGAGAATTGATGCTCCTGAAAATCACAACAGGATTGCCCCTGTCTTGTGATCAGGTGTGCATATAGTGCAAACATTGTCTATGGCCTTATCTATACTGTGGAAATTTCTCAGCATTGTCAGAACATTAATGTAACCTCATGTGTGCTCAAACCAGTGAATGCCAGGAGTCAGGTCAGACTCGGTTGTACTTCCTAGACATTCAGAGGTAAGCAGAGCTTATACAGCACAATAATACATACCCCAGCTGCTGGTCCTATTGTTCTAGCACTTTTGGAATATTTCATTATTACTTGAGCAGTTTAGCAAAATCTCCATTGCAGAAACACTATGATGTGCATTTTTTGCTGCTGCTTCTTTTTTTTTCCTGAAGATGGATGACTTGGTTTAAGATTATTACAACCATATAGCTCTCTAGAAAGCGTTGCAGATTAGATAGTGCAAATGCAGTCGTTTTGTTTTAATTTAAGAATCATACTCATTAAACAGACTGAACTGAATGTAACAGAGGGTAATTTAAATTATACACTTTCAAAACAATTCTAGAATTTGATGGGCAGACTTTTTTTGCTGTACTTAGGAAACAACAAGGCAGCCTTCAGTGGTGTTGCAGTATTCCTTGCTGTACACTGTGACATGGAAAAAGGAGAATTATCCAAACAAGTGGAGAAATATATTAAAAGACGATTAAATATGAAGCTTTTTGAACAGACAACATTTGTACATGAGGTTGGCTAAAATGGCCTTGTGTAACATTATTTAGTATATCAAAATAAGCAGTGTGCAGTTTCAGTAGTATCCAGTGGGAAAATGGGAACATTCACTTGCAAGAGTCTGGACTGCTGATTTTGGTTTTGCAGTATGATTATTTGAATACTTTTTTTTTTTTCTGTTTTGTTTTGAAGTATTTTTTTAATGATTGGGAATAAATTGTTTAACATATTGACAACTGAATTGGAAGACAGCGGTAGTACAGGACTTGAGAGGAATGGAAAAAAGAGTAGTTTTTACTACAGTTTAGTAACAGTTTACTATTACTGAAGTTAAAAATTTATTATGCTGACAACAAAAGAAGAAAAGGACTTTAAAATAAAAAACATTGAGAGAAAGGGGAAAAACAAGTGTTTTAGTTCTGTGTCAAACTCAGAAAAATAATTTTTGCTCTCTGAACTTTCTTTTTTTTAATGGTTTTGTCATTGAAAACTTTTTCATACATCTCATATCCTAAAATGTTGTAGGGTACACAAGAAGTTGTGTCCCGACATTTTAGAAGCTCATTTTGTTTGAAGAGATGCTGGGCTTGGTGGGAAGGAATTTAGGTAATCAAACATATATAGTTTAATTATCCTCTAATTACTTTATTAGTGGATGGCACTGGCAAGAACTTGGTTCCAGAAAAGTTTGCAGTAATAACTGACTTGAAAATGAGCTTTTTATAGTGGAATGATTAATTGTGACATATAGCAGGAATCTGCACTAAAAAAACTTTCCACATGCACATACCAATTCTGCAGTAGGGTAATTAATGGGTGACCCTGGAGAAGAATAATTTTGTTTGTAGACTTAATCCCTGTATTGTTGGCTTTATTTTAAAAGAAAGAATCAATTTAACTATTTTTTGTGACTTTCCTGGATTCTTCTGGAATCCTCTCATAGGTATCCAGCTGAGATTCTAATAATCTTTGGTTTTATTGTTTTATCTATTGAGAGCACCGCGTATTTTCAAGAGACATAAAAGTGTCAATTCTGGTTCTTGGTGGCTATACCTGTGAATTCTGATTCTGAATCTGAGGTTATTTTTATTCTGGTACAACTCTGTAGTGAATTTGATCAAGAAGCCTCATCTCTTATGGTTTCTTAGATCTATGTGCCAATCACTTCTGTGGTATCAAGTTTTCCTTTGGTGGGAGCAGTCCTTGGGGCGTAGTAGTTGTATTGAGGCTGATCTGCAGAAGAAGGAGAACAATTGGTAGCAGCAGCATTACAGTATACTTGCCCATTGTGCTTTGTTCCTTGAGGATTGTGAACAGATTTTAATTCCCACTAGGTGGAACTGCATGACTTTTGGATATACTACTGGATTTTCCCTGGCTGGCACAGGGAAATGCATGTTTCTCAGTATTCAGTGGCACAAAGGTTGCTCATCCCAGAGAATAGTCTCAGAGGGAGGTAGTTATATCACTGCCTGCTGCAAGAGCTACGTTTCACCTGGGAAGCATAAAACCTGGGAACAGCTGCAAGTAGGTTGTTATGTATTCACATTTTCTCACTCACTTTCCTCTTCCCTGCTGTTTTCTTGATGATCTAAATTGTGTGTTGACAGTGGGATTGCTGCAGTTGTTTTCCACTACTGCCACTTGCCCGCTAATGACCTTTTCATTGTTAGCAGTTACAAGATTTCTTTCCTAGTAACTTTTGAACTCAGTGTATCCTGCTCTAAAATCAGGAATTTCTGTTCACCATTTTTTTCATCTTGGCTCCATAAAAAGTAGCTCACTTGTATGGTGTGGATAGGTTTGTTTGTCTTGTGCTTGTCGCAAGTAAATCTGCTTTGCCCTTTCACTAGGAATCTGTAGTCCAAGCAACTTAAAATAGGTATTGAATATGTTTGGAGAACAGAACAAATCAAGTGACCAGATGTATGCATCTTTCTGCCTGCTTTGTCTGCAGTTTATGCCTAGGAGAGCTGTAGCAGCAGTCCACTGCAAGCTTGAGGCCTGTGGGTGGGATGCAGAGAAAGATGTCCTTGTCCTCAGGTTAGCTGGAGGAAGTCGCTGGCAATGCTTTGTGTGGCTTACCTATGGCACTGGTTTTACTGCTTGCCTCAGTTTTCCATTTTTTTTGGGTTACCGTTGGATATATTTCCTTTCTTACCTCTCATGTGATGATAAGGGTGCTCTAAGCATTTATTATGTGTTTGTTTCAAAATGTGTTGAATAAAAAATGTTGGAGACTGATTAAACCAATACTTCACTAAAGCAGTGCTTCTGCTGTGTCGTTTCTAGGCAGCAGTGTCTCTCCTCTCTATTTGACATCACAGGAGCTGCAAGAGGCTACTACCTTTGTATTTGCATTTGTTTCACTATGTTTAAACAGAATGACTAAATTATGTAGCTCTTCAGTGAAATATGCAGTTCCTCTCACTTTGTTCTTGTTTCAGCAGTCATTGAAAAGAAGAGGGAGCAAAGACCTACAAAAATCGGAGAAAAAGTCACAGCAAACACCAACAGAGGTATGTTGAATCAACAGTAATCTGGATCATTATGTGGAGATTTTAGCGACACTCTGGAAATATGGTTTTCAGATTTACACTTGTTTGCTCTGATTTTTGTTTTTCTACGTGCTGCGAAATGGAGACTTCTTTCCCCGAATCATGTAGTGAGAAGACATGATGTCAAGATCTACCTAAATGAACTATTTGTGCTACAATAAAAACCCACCAGTTTTCATTTACTCCAAATATTTTAGGCAAAATGAGTAAATGGAGCACCAGTGAAATAAGATTATAGGCCCTTTGTGTACAGATTCCAAGATTTTTTAACACTGATATCTACTACAGTGTTGCAAGTTATTTTTACAAGATACCCTCAAAAGGCCTTTTTTGAGGGATGCACAGGGTTTAATGGCGAGTAAAATAGTCTTTCTCTTTTCAAATTTTAATATTTATTTCCCCTTATTTGTTTTACTGATTAATGAACAAATGGTCACAGGAAAGTCTTTGTGTATTTAAAGCCACATATCTTTAATTGTTGATCTTGTAATTTAAGACCATCCACTGGAGGTCTCCTGTTTTACATCAACTTTCTTCAAATTCTTCGCTTTCCTTTTTTTTTCTAAGGAGGACAATGAAGACTTGAAATGCCAGCTGCAGTTTGTCAAAGAAGAAGCAGCTTTGATGAGGAAGAAAATGGCTAAGATTGATAAGGAGAAGGACAGATTTGAACACGAGCTGCAAAAATATAGATCATTTTATGGTGATTTAGACAGCCCTTTGCCAAAAGGTGAAGCAGGCGGTCCACCTACCACAAGGGAAGCTGAACTCAAGCTTCGGTTGAGACTTGTGGAAGAGGAAGCTAACATTCTTGGGAGAAAAATAGTGGAGCTAGAAGTAGAAAATAGAGGATTAAAAGCAGAGCTAGATGACTTAAGAGGAGATGATTTCTCAGGGGCCACCAATCCACTCCTGGGAGAACAGAGTGAATCCTTGTCAGAATTAAGACAGCATTTGCAGCTAGTAGAAGATGAGACAGAATTGCTGAGGAGAAATGTAGCTGACTTGGAAGAACAAAACAAGCGCATAACAGCTGAGCTGAACAAATACAAGTACAAGTCCGGAGCCCACGAGAGCTCTAGGCACCACGATAATGCCAAGACTGAAGCACTGCAGGAGGAGCTAAAAGCTGCACGAATGCAGATCAATGAGCTGAGTGGCAAAGTCATGCAACTCCAGTATGAGAATAGAGTGCTTATGTCCAACATGCAACGCTATGATTTAGCCTCTCATCTTGGGATCCGTGGCAGCCCCAGAGACAGTGATGCAGAAAGTGATGCAGGAAAAAAGGAGAGCGATGATGATTCCCGTCCCCCTCACCGCAAAAGGGAAGGGCCCATCGGTGGGGAAAGTGACTCAGAAGAGGTGAGAAATATTCGGTGCCTGACACCCACGAGATCTTTTTATCCAACACCATCTGGGTGGCAGAAAAGCTTCACTGACAGGCAGCAGATGAAGGACATTCGCTGTGAAGCTGAGCGACTGGGCAAGACAATAGATCGCTTGATTTCCGACACAAGCACCATCATAACAGAGGCAAGAATTTATGTAGCTAATGGAGACCTGTTTGGACTGATGGATGAGGAAGACGATGGCAGCAGGATACGCGAGCATGAGCTTCTTTACAGGATCAATGCGCAGATGAAGGCGTTCAGGAAAGAACTCCAGACTTTCATCGACAGACTCGAAGTTCCGAAGTCTTCGGATGATCGGAGTGCGGACGAACCTTTGTCAGTGAGTCAGGTAGACTTTTACTTATTATGGCCTACAGGTAAAAAACCTTGGCCAAAAGAATTAAGACTAAAATTTGATGTATGGCACCTTAAAATTCTTAAACTAGAATGTGGACAAAAATTTCTATTAAATTATTTTTAAATCCTTATTTGGCTATATGCAAATTTGTCCTACCATGGGACCTATTTGTAAATGGTGAACAAATGGTCTCTATGAAAGTGAAAGAATTATAGTCTAGATACAAGTCTTGTAGGAGCTGGAAGACTTTCCTCCTTCTGGCTTTGCAACTGTAGTTGCCAGAGTTAATGGCAATCAAGCTGCAGTGATTACCAGTAAAGACAATGCAGATAGCATTTTTAGCACGTTAATGAATGTGGTTTTTTTCATAGTCATTGGGTTCTTGTTAAATGAATAAAAAAAAATCTTATTAATTTTAAACTTAGAAAATATTCAATTTCCAAAATTACAAAGAATATAATGAACCACAGGAAAAAAAAAATAAACCATGAAAAATCTACATGGACTGCGTGGTGATGAATACTGGTACTATTGGAATTGCTGTAACTGGTTGTATCTTTCACTGAAAGGTTATGGGTCACTGCTTATACGCAATGGTGACTAGCATCTTTTCTGCAGTTCTTTTTTATTCTTCTCTTATCCCCTAAGGAAAGAGCCAACAAGCATCCTGCATGTGACGTGCAGAGTTGTCCCAGAGAGGTTTTGGGGAGCAAATTCCTTGCTGACTCAAGATCTTCTGCCATGAAAAATGAAAATTACCTCCCATTATCTTATTATGCAATCCTATAGTTGGCAAATGGTGTTATTGGTCACGGTATTATCCTGAAGTTTTAGTAAGTCTCTTGCTGTGTTAATTTACGTGTGCTGTCCTGCTAGTTTGCAATTTTAAATTAGTTGCCAGGTGAAGCTGAAAGCTATTATTTCTTGTCCCTATGCTGACTAATTAGTCTTTTGTTTTCTTGTATCAGAAAGTCACAGACGCAGTGAGTTTAAAGTTAATCAATTACTATACATGTACTGCATGAAATCAAACAGAAAAGACATTTGGCATGCTCACTTTCTGATCTAGCAATAGTTCTGAGCTTGTTAGAGTTCCCATTAACTCAGAGGCAGAGCACTGCATGAGTTCATACAAATTTAAAGCAATCCAATTGGTATTTTCTCTAAACAAATAACATCAGTAGTTAAATTGGCGTTTCAGGGCTTAACCATGCAGAACTCCTACTGAAGTCAATGGGAGATGGGCACTTGGTCCCTCTACAAGCATAATCTGAATCACTACTTATTTTTTTAAAACTTTGGACTTGGTATTCCATTAATTGACTGTTCTCTTTGTCTTTGTATTTACTTTCCCAGATGTTCCAGCCTATCATTTTACTTATTCTCATCCTTGTATTATTTTCATCCCTTTCATACACAACAATATTTAAACTTGTCTTCCTTTTTACACTGTTTTTTGTACTGTAACCCATTCATCTTTTACTGTTCATTGTAGTGTTATTTTCAGTTTGTTTATTTTGTCCACCCTCCAAGATAAGACGTGCAAGAGACATAATTTCTGTAATATCCACTGCTGTAAAAACACTGAAGACTACTTGTTTGCCAAAACCGAAACAGACACCTAAAAATGCGAAAGAAAAAAAAAATCATCCAGTTGAATAGGAAACCTGCTCACCATAGTGTTCCAGGTAAGCAAACAGAATATTTTTCACTTTCTCTGCTTTTTATCATTTTTGAATGAAATATTTCTGAGTGGCTGGAACCAATGTAATATTCATTAATTTGCACCAAATCAGAAGAAAAACGGAAACATGAGGAGTGGGTATGAGGAGTCTGTGCTTTTCCTCTTCCCACTCCCAGAAAAATAACTTCCATTCTAGCCAATGAAAAGTAAAACCATATGTATTCTGTAACTGTATTTCACAGTTCATATATATTTTCTATGGTTTTGATATCAGCACTGTGTTATGTAGATTAGACACCGTGGAGGGGACAGAATAAGAATGGCTGATACAGAGTACTTGTATGTGGAAATGTGGTGAGGAGCTGGGGCCTCTGAGAATTAGATATACAAGGAAGAGGAGGCTAGCAGTGCAAGCAAGGAGTCTGCTGAGAGATGTAGGTTGGCTGCAATCTCTGTGTGCTCTAGAAAAGCGGCCACACTGCAGTCTTACTTGAACTGTGGGTGGTGATGCTATTTGCCTTGTCTGGTGCCAAAACAATAAATAAGTGGTAATAAATAAAGCAGCTGCTTTACTAGCTGGCAATATGAATTCTTTTTCATACTATTCACTTAACCTGCTCCCATATGAGAAGAGTTCATCTTCATGCCTCTCTCCATCTGATCAAAATTCGTGCCGAGAGCTGTAGCCCACTGTATGAAACAGCAGAGACAATGTTTTGAGAGAAACCACTTATAGGTAAGCAGAGGTTAGACAACAGAATTTTTTTTTATGAGAATGGAAAAGGTAGTGAACTCACAGCATTCAGCATTAAACAAAACTTTTATTTTTTCCTCATTTCTCTAGCTCTCCTTCCATGTATTCTCTACAAGTATAGCAGCCTTCATCAGTTAAATCACTGAACCTTCATTTAATCCAAACAGTTATTCCTATCAGGGAATTTTGTCTTATTTACTTTGTGGTTATTGAGATGCAGGTAAAGAAAACAGTGATCAATATATAGGTAAAGAGAGAATTTTTTACCTTCATCTGTTGACCTGGGTAAAGAGGAAGTCAGGTGCAACAGAATTCTGAAAGCTTCTTGTGCTCAACTGCCTTAAAGTTGAGTTGCACATATTAGAAACTGTTATGGTGAGATATGGTCAGTTGTAACTTCCCTTCACTGTGAACTTCTGTGATCTTAAAGATAGCACTGAAGTCACTGAGGGGACAGCCTTTTTGCTGCTTTTCTCTGTCAGATTATTTCAATAATTGAGATTTTTTTTTTTTCCAAAGACTTTGCAATTTGGACATTAAAATATGATAATTGTAGGCTTGATGAATCAAATATTAGCAAAACACTGGCTTTTAAAATTTCTTTTGTTCTACTGCTGCTACTGGGGGGAGAAAATATTTTTTTCTTAATATTACTGTCTCAGTCCCAAAGAGTACAACAAATCATGCTCAAACCTGATCTGAAGTTGTGGGCTTTCAGATTTTAACCCACACATTTATCCCTTTCTCAGCTTGTTTGTAATAAAGATGATGAGAAAGGGTTTGCTTCACACTGAGTGTATCAGTAACGGTACTACTGTAAAATTGCCAAAAAAGCTTAAAGCACAGTATTTTTACATCAAGTATATTTTAGAAGTTATTTGGAAAAGATTTGCATCTTTCCTAGAAATCAGTTAAAGTGTACATGAATCTATCGAGTTGGCAGGTGGGACATACCCTCTGTACAGGACTGACAATTATAACCCCACTGATTAGTGACAGTAATTTTTCTTGCATATGGTTCGTTTACTTTACGTGAACCAAACCTTCCTCATCCTACTTCTGCCAGGCATCAAGAAAACAAGTCTGAGCTGAGACATTTAGGGAACTGTTGCATAGCCTACAACCTGAAATGAAGGGATCCTGAAGCATCCAAAATCATTTTAGCATATCCCCACAGTTTTTAAATCTGTGATGAGCAAAACAGGAGCCCTGCAACCCTTGATACAGAAAAATCCCAATGAGAAATGAAAGTTATTTTTCATGTCCTGCATCCAGCTTTAAGGGGCAGACTGGATTTGCTTATTTGTTTCATGTCAAATATTGCAGAGGAGTGCACAACCCTTCATTTTTCTTTATTTTAACAGTTGCTGAGAAAGCTAATAAAATCAGCACAGAATCTGTTGATAGCCAGAAGATAACATTTAGCTAAATAAGTCTTCTGTGTCGTGCTGAATTGGAGTGGCTCAGTCTCACAAATGTGACAATTCTACTTGTCAAGAAAGACTGCAGATTCTCCCCATTTACAGGGGTGATGGACAAAGTCTACTTCAGAGGCAAGCAGTTAAATTCAGCTGAACACATCCGCATCCTCTAGCGGGAGTGTGTGGGAGTCAGGCAGAGAAAGGCCAACCTGAGCACTGCTGATTCATTAACTTATCTGCTGCATAGTGTGCAACTCAGAAGAGCAGTAAAGAAAAATGGGTGATTTTGCTCTTATATGGCACATTACCTGGCACATTGCCTATCAGTATCAGTTATGCTGGTAGTGGATTCACAAATCCCATTGTTGAAACAGAAGAACTTCTTGAAGTGCGCTGCAATAACAGAGGCATTGCAGAATAAAGAAATGTTTGTTATCCTCCTGATGAGAGGATGCTGGGTAAACCAGATATATGTATTTTTTTTTGCAAGTGAAGGAAAAGTGTTTCAACAACAAATCATAGATTCTTCTTAATTAAAGCAGGATTAATATTTTGAAGTATGCTTTTATAGTAAAAAGCTCAGATGTTGAGCAAGAATATGTATGTAGCTAACCTTTATAAAGTACGTTTGCTCTCACAGATCGCTGCAAGTACAAGTACCTGTACAAGTCAGCTGAAGGCATTTCAGGCATTTCACTGATGAAATACAGCTCCTCTGAAGCACATCCAGGGACTTGCATAAGCCCTATAAAAACAGGAGATGTAATATTTACTGCTGCTAACAGGGATATTAAAATAAATGTGGTAACATATTACACTACAGAGTAAATATTAAAATCTTACATAAAAGTGCACAAAAAAAGCTGCAGAGCCTATTAATGAAGGGAACTTAAAATAAGCAAAATCTGCTTGAAATGGATGCCGAATTTTGTTCTGTGGAGTAGAAGTATTAAAATCTGAATTTGGGTTGGATACTGGGATTAATATTCTATCCTTGCAAAAAAAGGTTACTAAATTTCAGGCTCAAGATTGTCTTAAGTTTCTCTGAAAGATTAAATTTCTGATTCCTGGGTGTTCCAGGACATATGTTCCACATCCTTTCATAAAGATCTTGCAAATATAGATTAATTCTGATAGTTTTGTATTTGTATACATTGGAAATAAGTCAGACAAATTTTTGTCACTTAGAATATAGATGCTTTCTTTTTCCTTTAATGCAACCAGAGAAATATTTTCTTTCCTATTTAGAAAAATTTCTGCATACTCAGAGAAGGTACCTTTTTATATATTTTTACTTTTACTGAAAAATTCCCTGATACTAGAAAGATCAACTTCTCCAGGATCCAGTGATCTTTCTTTCAACCAAAAATATCCATGCCTGAAGCTCCGGTTAGAGAGAGGATAAGTGTCTGCTGACACATGTCACCACTGCTTCAGTATCAAATCCAGAAGTGAGCAGGTGCTACAGTGCAGAAATGTGCCCGCAGTCGGAAAATGAAAAATGGCCAAAACTGTGGCTGTCTAAATATGTGTTATAAAAAGAGATGAACTGCACATGAACTTTCAGAGTTGTTTACAAAAACAAGCAGAGCTTTAGGATATTACATGCCCTTCCCCTTAATCACCTCAGAATTTGATAGGCGAGTAGGAGACTTTAAAGGCGTCAGTACCAGGTGCCTAACTCCCATTGGCTTACATTTCTGTCTCTGATATAATGTTGAGGGTAGTGATATTCAAACTCAACTTTTGCCATTACACATGCAGTTGCCTATGGGGAAAATTACAGTGGCTCTATTTAAAGTAAACATCTAAAGTATCTGCCACTGATTTCCAGTGTACCCTTGGAGAAGTGACATGACATAACACTTTGTTGGCTCTATTTCTCTGCTAAGGTATATGTGATTGCAGAAGTGCATGATGGTTAGAGAAGACAGAATTTGTATTCCTGTCTGCCAGTTTCCAGACATATATCCACTGCTGAGATATATTTGCCTGAAATATTGGTGTGTAAAACGTACTTCGTAGGGATCTGATGTAATGTTTGTGTTGACTACAATGGCAGCTGTGCTGTTCTCTCTTATGTGGTTTGTGCTGACAGAACAAAATGGGTATGCTGTTCCTGAGCAAGTATGGCAAGACCAAAGATGCTCTGAAATAATCTTGAATGCAGACTTCTAACCAGATGACACTGCTGAATATGTAATCAGGTTATAGTCCATGCTGAAACTCACACTTCTTTGACTTCAGTCTTGCACAATGAAGACAAATTTAGCTGAGGAGTTGTTTAAAATGCCCTTGCACTTGTTCTGTTGAAGTGCTGACTTCTAGAACATGCAGAGCTTCTTACTGCATTTTCTGGTGTCGCTGCAGGGTGAGCTGTTTCTGTTGGATGACTTACTTTCCTCCAAAGAGGAAGCCATTGTTACTGCACTTAGTAGTATCGGGTTCAATTAACCCAGGTTTTAATAGCTTGTTTTGTGTTTGTTAGGGTTTTTTTTGTCTTTTTTTTCCTCCAAGTTTGCTTTCCTTTCCCTTGTTAGAAAGAGGCCCTTTGACTATGCACAGCGCTGTTCAGTTTTGCCTACCCAGGCTAGAGCTGTCTCTGAAATGTCCTTCCAGTGCTGTGGATAGGTCAAGAAATTTTCTTCCTCCGTGCATCATCCTGCAAAACAGTGTGAATGAAACAGAGCCTGTGGCCGTGCAGAGCTGTAGTTCTGCCTGGCCTCCATCAGGTAAGGAGGAGGAAAAGTCTTTCCTAGTGTCTTTGCAGTTACCAGAAGGTATGAGGAGCATAGAGGGATGTTCTTGTCAACTAAGGGAATGCTTACTACAAGCAACTGTTTTACAAAGCTGCATGTGTTTTTAATTACACCAACAGAAATGTAGGATTTTGCCTGAGTAAGAACTTGAGTCTGAGATTTAGTCCATTATTTCCTTTAGTTTCTCTTTGTTGTGCTTCAAAGTCTTCACACAGCATGATGAGAGACATTGAGTTAGCAATATTAAATACCCAGGAGTAATAGCCAATGCTGATGGGAAATCTAGGGGGAAAAAAAGGCTTTGTCTCACATCTCTGTTTGTGTGGTGCAGTCGTGCTTGGGAGGAGCAGCTGTGGCACCCAGACTCCAGCTGTGCCTCCAGGGTGCCCCTGGGCACTTGGCCCTGCTGCCAGCCATGCCAGCTGGCCTGCTGGGGGGCAGCCTCCAAGAGCGTCACACTTCTGCCTTATGAATGGGAAATTGTAATTCCCCAGTTAGAAGCTGAGTTTTTTCTTCAGGGACATTCAGCCATGCACGTTGGCATCTTAGTTCACTTTGAGATTGTCTTTCAAACTTTCTCTAGTAGCCCAAGTCCCATTATTTATGTCACATAGGGGAAGAATAAGCACCCAAGTAATATTAATACAGCTAGACCATATAAGGAGAAAAAATGTGTTTTCCCTGAAACATGCTTTGCTATTTCCTATAAAATGCACCCAGAACTACAGTCTTTATGCTGAGTATGGATCTCATGTATTGTTTTAAGGAGGAAAGTGCTGACTCAGTAAGAAGGTATGAAACCTCATACTGTGTCCTCCATCTCAAAGATCCTCTTGTCATCAGCTGCTCTGCCCACAAAAAAAGATGTCACTTCTGCCTAGTATATTTAAAGGCAGATATTAGATGAAAAAATTTGTCCGGAATTTTATACTGCCTCAGTGAAGTACTCTGTGGCTCTTCTCCAGGTACACACAAGGATGAACACTCCCTGAAGTGAGTTTTGTGGCTGTGGTGGGTCTTAAGGAATGCCCACAGGTACAAGTACCTGACAGGGCAGCAGGACATGTGCAGCTATGGCTGGGGTCCCCCTCCTTTGCTGTGCCACAGCATAGCAGTCTAATGATGCAGCGATGCCTCTCTGCTGCACAAGGTGTGGGGTCAGCAGACATATAAGAATTTCGGGCTTCTTCCGCCTGTTGATCAGCTTCAGGATCTCCTGTGAATGTTCACTGGCCTGGTCTTTTTTGTCACGTTTCATGCCAGCACTTGCTGTGGGCACTCCAGGACACATCCAGGCTGTGGTGCTTTTGGAGCTTCCTCGCTAGCCTTACACCAGGGGTGAAATTCCCTGTGCAAAGGAGATTCTCTATCCAATTTCAAGCACTCTGCTTTGCTGAGACACAAAGTATCATAACAGACCAGAGAATCTAATCCAGAATCTTTATAAAGTAGCAGGAATATTTGAGTGTATCCCAAAGAAACCGTTGTCACCATTTCCAGAATGCAGGAAAGTAGGATTACACAATGCCTAGTAATTCTGCCCTTTCTAAGTGCTAGTGTGTGAACGCAGAAAAAAGATTTTAGGGAGGTGTGGTTTGCTTTTAGCTCTTGCAGATAGCTATTAACCAACAAAATTGCTGCTTTAAACACACTCCCCTTACAAAGCAGTTTACGAGATCAAGTTGCAAAGCTCTGAATGATCATACCAAAAAGTATAACCCTGGAAGCTGGGGCTGGGAGGCAGAAAAGAATCTTCCTTCTCAACGTGGACTCTAATAAAAGCAACCTAGAATTGCCTATTGTCATAGCTGTAATGTTAACACTGGCTGCTTTGGCAAGCTTTGAAGACTGGACTGCACTATAAAGCCTAAAAATGTCCTGGACTTGGAGTTGTTTACACAAAATATGAGCAGATATAAAGTTACAGAGCTGGGGGTTGGAAGATATGGCTTTAAAGCCATCCTCCATGCACTGACGTCACGTGGAAGCCAGCTGCTGGGATGATGCTGAGCGGAACTGTTTTTCAGTTAGCAAAAGTTGTGGAGTTATTCACAGACAGTTGTAAATGCTGCCCAACTGAAAGGTTGCATATTGCTTAGCTTTCTTATTTCTTTTAAAGATCAAGATTTGCAGAACTGGATCTCAGCTAGCTATGCATTTCCTTGCTTTCACTGCTGTTTAGAAATGGACTGAAAACCTTCTCAAGGATTTTTTATTCCATGAAAGGTATGGTTATTGCTTATTTGAAATCTTTGAGCAATTAAAATTTAAAAACCCTGCAATTTACTAATTGCTATTTAAATATCTCTTCTATGTTGCAATTCATATGTTATCTGGTGTTTTATGAATCTTGTGCATATTCTTTATTCTTAGAGAAAGACTTGGCATTAGTTCAGTTGTTTTTTTTTTTTTTAGCACAGACACAGATATATCAACAGAATAGGGACAACAGGTATCATTTTGAGACCTTTTTTTTCCTTCTTTTTCCTCTTTCTGTTTTCTTTTTCTTCTCTTCATCCCTTTTTCTCTTTCACTCCTTCTCTTTCATTCTCATTCAAATGCAGTTTCTTTCTAATGATAAAATGCTCAGTATTGTGACGGCTTTCTTTTACAGTTGAACAAATAAATTCCTCTATGGTTGTCTTAGTCATTGAAAAGATAGGAATTTGCTGGAAATATAGTTTAATTGCCAATTGCCTTTTTTTGTTTGTCTTTTGTAAACTCAGTGGAAGATTTTTTTGTCTAAATGGTTGTGCAAAACCAGTCTAATTAATCTCTGTTGAAAACTAATGTCTCCCCAGATGATGTCACTGCAGATTATTTTGAGAAGTTGGTAGCAGTTGATTTCAAACTGCTGTGCATAGTTAGATAGAAAGGATGCAGGTAAGACATAGGGGAATACTAACAGTAATGTCAAATAGCAGCTTAAGTCATTTTTTTTCTTGAGAGCAGGTAGAGCTAAAGGGAAAGTTAAGAGAAAAATGCATCTGATGTAGACAAAATTGATTATTTGCTTGAAGTTGATTGCTGTAATGAGCTTCTGACCTTGTCTAGGACATGCAGAATATGCCAATACTGCAAGAGCACAGATCCACATGGCTGATTAAAATGTGGCATTTGACATCTTTTTGTGTTGCATAAGCCATATGCAATACCCATGGGGACATCATGGTGCACCAGACAGACAGGATACACTGTCTGAACTACAAATAAGAACTACTAAAATAAATAAGCAAGCAAATAAAAAATATATCAACAAATAAACGATAAAGGCCAAAGAAAAAAAGCAAACAGAACCACAGAAACAAGAGATAAACTGTCTGAGGAAATTACCCATTGTACAATAGCAGCAGTTTTCTTTTGAGAGTTTATATACAGAGAATATCAGAGAACAAGAAGCAGCAATAGTTCTTTGTGAACCTTAGTGCTACAAGAAACTACCTGTAACTTCTATAACTAACCTCTTCACAACATCCAAGGCCTGATTGCATTTTGATTATCTCCAATTGTTTTTATAATTACAACATCGCATGAAACAGTTTGGAAATTGTTAAGCAGTAGTAGCTCCCAGCACAAAGAAACCACCAGGGACCTCTTTGATATTATATGCGTGCTTGAAAGAAGTAAATATCTGTTCTTATATGCATACAAATTAAATATGATGTATAGTCTTTAGTGCTTGCCAAGTAATATGCTGTTGATTGAATTGCAGCCATTATTACCAATGGAGCACTGGTAAAATCGCCATTCCTTAATGTTAAAGACAGATTGTGCCAGCCTCTCTAATTTGTGATTTTGCAGTGCTGACGTATTTGTTGTTGTTATTGTTTCTTTCTGACACGTGTTTGAAGATTTCAGAGAAGCAGAGTAAGTAGAGAAGTTACTTGTTTATAAAAATTACAACCTTTGAACTAAGAAGGTGGGAAAGTATTGAAACAGCTGTAAAATTATTTTGCAATAGATGCTTAGATTGCAACAGATCTCAAGTGCAGTGGAATTCTTTTGTAAGTTGTTTTTGGTTAATGCTGAAGTCTGGCCCAAAGTTTTGGCTTGGAAAGGTGCATCTCTGTAGCCTGGCCATCTTCCCTAGGAACCTGTGAGTGAACAAGTGTTTAACTTCTTTTATAATGAGAATGCTGTGTTGTCTTTGAGCAGCTCTTAATTTAGAGAGTTTAAGGTGTTTGAAAAGCTGCCTCATGCATTTTTATGCAGGGAGAAGAAGGGCAAATGATCATTTCAGAGCTCCCAGACAGGTATGAATAAGATATTAAAAGAGTAAGCTCCAAAAACAAGTTACGTGGTGACAGGACTATGCTGCTATGAAACAGGTTAACAGAGGTGTTTGGTGACTGCTTCCTCACTCCCAAGGTGCTTGGGGTCAATGGTATTACAGTCAGCGGGCTAGGACTGGCCCCAAGATGCCTGCCAGGTGAGATGCTGCAGCAAGACTTCCTGTGGCACCAAGACCTGAGTACCCTCTGCTCTCAGCTGAGCTTTACTCACTTGCTCATGAAAAAAGCTGACTCTAGGATTGGCATCAACTTACCAGTCAGCTGAAATAATGCAGACACTGGTAAGTGCTGATTACATAGTAGCCACAGTCGAATCAACAAGTCTCACCCAATAAAATATGGGATGAGGAAGAGCTTTGTGTGAAGCTCAAGTGTGAATATGTACTACATCAAAGAAGATGTGGGTGGCAAAATGGGCAGTTCCTGTGAGCTGACAGTCACTGTCTATCAGTCAGGGAAGTGAACAAATTCCAAGAAGGCAAACCAGAACTGACCCCTTGTTCACTCTCTGGTAGTTCATTTGCCTGCCTGTACACTTGGCTTCTGGAAGGAGACCAAAGCAGTGCAGAGGCATTTTGTAACTAGAACTAGATTCCAGCCCAACCTAAGTGACACAGCAGCATGCTTGGAGACACAAAGTTAATGACTTGAGCATCAATGGGTATGTACCAGCTGTTATACTGCAGAAGTCACTGTAACTGAATGAGTGTAGATTTGGCTTTTCTGGCATGGTGAATGTCCTGGCAGTACTGGAACTTCTATTGTGAGCCTAACAAAGCAGGAAGAGTATTAGGCCCATAAAATCTGTAATTGTTTTGTTCCAAAGTCAAATGAGCAGATCCAAAGTACTTAAAACATTTAGTAGTTATATTAATAATTTTTCATCAACACTTAGTAAGAAACTAATGACTTCTGAAAAGGATCAAGAAACTGAAGCACAAATGAGTTAAATGTTCTGAGTGAGGTTTTGAAATAAGTTTGATTTAGTGCTATCAGATAACTGTTTCCATTTTTCCCTATGCTGGTCCTATCTTTTTCCTTATGCTGTGTGTTTGTGAATCCAAAGTACATAAGTACATAAAAATACATACAAAGTACATAAACTCTTAATAGAGGCCTGTAGTCAGAATGATGCTTTCTACTGCATGTATGTGCTTGTTACCTGTTTCTAGCTTTTCTCTCCCTTTTTTTTTCAATGTATTCTAAAGCATCCATACAGCCATGAGAAATTTCTTCCCGTGTATCAAGTTTACGGTCTTCAATTGCCAAAAGATTTTTGGTCTCTCTCTTGCTAAATGCCTGTGTGAAAAGAGTGCATCAGCAAACATGATACTTTTACACTTGTGGTTGTCTTTTGAACAAACGTAAATATAGCTTTCACCCTCAAGGGCAGACCTTAGAGGATCCCAAGGTCCTGATCTGCCACTCAGTATCACGCAGAGTCAGATTTCAAGGAAAGCAGGCTTGCAGCGAGGTATAACAGCAAAGATGTGAAGAGGCCATGGTACGCAGCCTGATGTGGAAGACACTGGTGAATCCTGTGATGCTGGTTGTGCATCCACCCTCTCATTTTCAGATTGGATCTGTTTCCTTCTGGAGTTTTGTCCTACAACACTTAGGTCTTCCGTATTCCTGTCACACTGCAGATAAATGTTGTGCAGTCTTGCGCTGCTGTCTTCTGCATGCACATTTAAATTAATAATTTTAGGGTTTGTTTGCTTGTTTGTTTTTTCCTGGAAGCTAGAATGAAAGACAAGACTAATTCTGATAATCTTTCAGGAAACATTCAGGGAAAAAAAAGAAAGACAGAGCTGTCTTGTTGCTGTTACACAGACTGTAACCATGGACGTGCATAAACAACTTGAGAACACCGAGAGGAACTGGAATAAAGAGAAGATGGAACTGCTGGAAAAATTTGACAATGAGAGGAAAGAATGGGAATGTCAATGGAAAGTTATGCAGAAGAAAATTGAAGAGGTACTTTAAAACAAAGCTTTGAACACTAACATAATATAAATATATTAATTATATATATCTAAATAATATATAATATATATATTATATTATATATATTATATTATATAATAATATATAATATTATTATTATATAATAATATAATATATATAATATATATAATAATATATATATATATAAATAATAATATTAATATATAACAATAACTTAAGTATTTTCAGTGACTAGAGATCAGTTTAATTTATTTTTCTCTGAGTTATATCCTATTTCCTGTCGGTCACTGGGATTTTGTAGGATGCAGAGCCTGGGATTAATCAGTATTTGCAATTGCTCATTTAATATTCAGAAATATGAAGCAGGAGGTTAAACATAACTCTGTGTCAAGTTTGCTGTATTGTTGGCTGTATATACTTGTGCCAGTTCTTCTGGCACTGAGCCACGGTGCTCATTTTATACATGCTTTTTGCAAGTACAGACATGCTAAATAGATCTGAATATATGAGGCATAGGAAAAAGTGTATTTAGTGACAAAAAAAAGTATCAATTCTCTGGCAAAAAAAAAAAGGCATTACTTGGCACAAGTCTGGTAGGATAAACAGTAATGTTAAAAAGAATGTGATATATCGATCTCTGTATGATGCTGAATTGTTCTGTCGAGAACCTGTTCCATTTATGGACAACATTTAATAGAGAAAATGGCTACGGTAAATAGCATGAAAGCCCTCGCACCACTTGTGTTTACACGTATTAACAAACATTCACTTTCTGCCATTTCTATGGCGTCTCCTTCCAGAAATAATTTAGATAATTATTTGTTACTTCTTTATCCCCAAATTGTCACTTGAGTAGAACCCTCTGGCATCCTGAAACACATAAATTGAATCTGCTTTGGCAGTACATAGAGACAAGCTTTTTCATCACCGAGTTTTCCACATTCTTCATGCTAATATACACATGGAGTAGCTTTGCTTGCTCTCTGCCAACACCTCCCTGTGGCTGAGCAACACAGGAATGTGTGGCAGAGACTGCTCACATGGAAGTAGGAGATGAAAAAAGAACTGCAGCCATAGTGTCCAACGCATGCAGTATTACTTCATGTCAGCTCTCCTGTCTTTTCCCTGAAGTTTTTACAAACTTTGGTGTGCCAATCCCCACTACATTCTGTCTTTTGTGTTAGGATGCTTCTGTGCTGTCAGGAAAGAGATGAAGAATGAAATGGATTTGAGGGGAAATACAGAACCAGACAGTACTAGAGGTGGTGCCCCAAGGTTATTGACATCCTAAGGTCCTTTTTAATCTATGACTGTGGCAGCCCTTGATTTCAGTTTCCTGGCAGTTCTTCACAAAAAGCCACAAGTCTGGAGAAAAGGGGAGATCCCTTTTTAAATGCTGTCATCTGCAGAGGGTTTTCCTAAACAAGGCTTGTGCTACTTTATCAGGTTGTGATTTTGTTTGGTAATTTTCTTCAGCCCACCAAATATGAACTTCATTGAAGGATCTCTCCAGAAGGGCCTATGATGGTTTAAGAGATGATATTGCTGAATTAGCACCCTGTTAGTATCTGTGCTGAATCCATATGAGGCTCTCTTTTATTGGATATTACAAAGTTTGGCCCTCAGATCTCTTGAATAGTTGGGCTTTGAGAGTGAATTTTGAAAGCCTCAGAAGAGGTCAAGTGTCAAGTCTCTGAATATGAGAGTACTTCTTATCAACAGCACTATTCATGAAATGACTCCGTGTTCTTCACATTGTCATTCTTTTTCATTGTCCTTCTAAAAGGACAGTGCACAACAGGAGAGCAGGCAGGTGGTTATTTGGAGGTGCCTACTCTGTTCTTTCTTCATAAGAGAAAGTTAAGAATGAGTGTTTATAAGGAGCCGTGGGATTCTTGGCACTAGAAATAATAATGTAAGCATAAGAGGTTTTTATGATGCTGCTATTTTTTCAACTTTGTAGTTTGTCACAGTACTCTGGTTTGTATATACTGGATGACAGGAATTAGCACCTTTTCATTTACTAGTAGAGCCACTGGTTCTCAGCAGGTAGAAAGAAAATAGGACAGTGACAGCACATTGCCAAATAGTACCATTCTGGAGTACTGATTTATCACTGAAGTCATAGGGAAGAATTCCATTTGTCTGAGAACCAGAAGAGTCTGCTTTAGTGCAGATGGCACTGTATGTGCTGAAAATTCACTTCCCCTTCTTAAACTAATATAGTTTACCAGGCTGTGACGTAGAGCCCTCTCTCACATCTGTTCTCATTCCCCATGCAGCCTGTCAGAGCTGTGTTCTGTGGTTCTGTGATTCACAATATAATGCACTAATATTACTTGGAAGGCAATCATACAACCTCTGGCTGGACATTGTCCTCATGAGATCTCTTGGAATCCCATCCTATGTGTGCCAGCCATTTATTAAAACCATGGCAAAGGGATTTGAATAGCAACCTCCCATTCCACATCCTGTGACAATAACATCCTGTGGACTATCATGCTGTGTGACTCAACACTTTTCTACTAACAAGTGTATCAAATTTTTCTACTTAGTGCTACCAAGTGAAACATTATTCGAAATAGAAAATTAATATGTGGTGGATGGTTTTTTTTCAAAAGTTGATCAAAGTACTGTGATTTAATAGAAGGTTCTGTTGTCTTTTTTTTAGCTTTACCAGGAGGTAAAACTTAGAAGAGAGAACAATATGAATGTCCACGACAACAAGGCTATTCAGAGCAAGATGCTGCAGCTGTCCATGCATTCTCCTACTTCAGAAAAGAGTGACACAGTGGAACTGAACTATCAACACAATGTGGTAAATGATGGGATGGAAAGAGGGAGTTTGCTGAGTAAAAGAGGACCTGAATGCAAAGAAATCAGAGCCAAGAGAAAAAACGATACCTTGTTAATGAACAGTCTGGCCTTTGAGAACCATGAGGAACTTGAAGACAGCCTCAGCATCAAAAATTCCAAGAAAAATGCCAAGAGCTATATTGGTGATCTCAATGTGGTAAGTAAAGTATTAGCATGTTTCACTTAAAAGGATGAAGAAAATACCCTAGCTGTAGTCTGCTAGGATTAACCTGATTTTATTCTCCCAGCGAGGTGCTGTCTCTACTTCCTCCTCAGTTTACTGATGATGTGCGTCTTCTCACTGTTTAAATGTGTTTATAGCATGCACTTTACCTCAGTTCATAACCTTTTTTATATCTTTCCCTACACTGCTTTCCTGTGCTGTGACTATTAAATGAAAATCCCAACAATTTTCAAAGTAGTTCTGGAGATGCTATTTAAAAGGCTTATGTTAAAAAAATATTCTTATATTTACAAAGGCTCTTAAAGAACTTGCCAGAGTTAGTGAAGAATTATGCAGCTATCAAGAGGAAATTCGGAAGAAGTCTAACCACAGAAGGTAAAGGCATATTTGGACTCTATATCTTAGAGGAAGAAAACAGATACAAGTCCATGTTTCTGTTTACTTTGAAGGGAGGGTTGCTCTTGAATTTATCAGCAGCCGATCAGTTTCTGTCCTCTCAGTCTTTTAGTAGACAGCATAAATCATTCAAATGAAATGTTCTGAAATATGATACAGGACACACTTTACTAGTAAAATGAAGTTTATAGAACCTACAAAATGAGGTAAGTATTCGTATGAGATTAAATTGTATCTGTTTATAATGTCCATATAGAGGCTTGGGAAAGGGAGCAGATATTTTTGTCTGCCCTGATTGCTGTGTGGTTCTATAGAATATTTTATATTAGGCTGGGAAGTTTCTTACGTTAATCCCAGATTTAGCCTTAAATATTGGAAATGTGTCAAGGAATGCCTGACAAGGAATCCCCGCTATAGGATAGTTAAGAAAATAAGCAAATAGTTTTAGTGGCAAGGGAAGGGAACACAAAATTCTCTGTGTTGAGCTTTCTTCAAATTCATCATGTTTGTTCTGAATAAACTGTATCAGCTGTAGCAAAACAGCTGCCAAAGCCTTTTAAGCAGCCAGTGATAAAATACCTGCTCATAGAATGAGTCCATGCTGAAGTCCCCTTAGGGAATATTCTTTGTGCTCACCCCTGAAATATCTATCTTTTTATGTCCAGAATGAAATCAGTTCCTTTCCTGGGGGAGTTTGAAGAAACCCAAAACACGGTTATTCTGCCTGAGATGAACCATCTGTCCAACAATGAATCACAGTCTTCAGTTGCATTTGTAACAGAGGAGCATAATAATAGGAAGAATCTGATGAGCTCCACCAAGGTTTTGAAGGATATGTCTTACAGTAGTCTTACTGGCAACAGAGGAGAGGTTTTCAGACCTTGGCAACAGAAAGAAGCTCCACCAGTTCCTCCACGAAGCACTTCTCGGCACTTAACAAACTCACTTTCTACGGTTGTACAGCTTTCTGAAGCACCAATGAGAGATCCAGGCATCAAAAGCAATTGCAAGGTTCAGGACAGTAGGAGTGGAAGGAAATTGACAAATCCTTCATCTATCAAACAAAATGAAACTGCAATGGCCTATGCAAATGAGGAGCAGGCTGGGAAAGGTCCTGTGGTGGTAACTGCTGCAATACCTGTAACCAAAAATGAGTGCATTGTGACAAGTTTCTGCCACAATACATGGGCATACGATGTTGGTAAAGACAGTAAAAATGAGCCTTCCCCACTGTCAGCCCAGAAGAGTTGTTCAGATGGAAATATGGCTCATAGTAACAGAATGCACCAGAAACAAAATTCCAAGTCTCATTGCAGTCCTTATTACAGCAACGACTTTTATGCCCCTGCTGCCCTGCACAATGATCTTTTGGGAGACTCCAGTTGTACTTTGGGAAAGACTCAGAGAAATGAAACTTTAGCAGCAAAGATTGATGAGTTTAACCGGACTGTATTTCACACAGATAAACGTAACAATACTTCACAAGAAAACCAGGTGATTCGAACAGCATTAGATCACAAACCCTGCAGCCCACAGAGTGACTCTGCTATTAGCAGGACAGAAACGGTAGATACATCTTGTGTTTCAAATCCCAAATTCTCTGCAGCAAAAGAACAAGAAACTAGCAACCCCAGCAAAGTTGTCAGAACAGTAGGACAACAAAAGCAAGTAAATGAACCTTCAAATACTAGTGGTTACAGGCACATGCTTCATGAGCATGACTGGAGACCGAGTAATTTATCCGGTCGCCCGCGTTCAGCTGACTCAAGATCAAACTATGGTGTTGTTGAAAAGCTTTTGAAAAACTATGAAAAATCTGCAGTGATTTCTCCATGTAATGCAAAATACTGCAAAGATAAGTGGGCATGGCCAAACTCTGAATCCACTGATGGAGGTTGTGAGACACTGAATCAGTGTTTAGAAATGCTTCCAAGTGAGCAAGGAAAACAGGAATTTCTGAGGAATTCAGCCAGGCATATTGGGCAGCAACTGAAGCAAGGAAAGGAGAGACAGAAGTTACCAGAGGTAAGGTTCAGAAGAATGGCAAGAACAAAATCCGTTTTATACTTAGCTTCATGTTTTAAAGTGAGGCAGACTATCATGATACTGTAAAAAATTACATAAAAACTGGTAAGTCAGGCCAGGATCTAGGTGAATCAGAAGGATTTCCTTTAAAAATAACAGTCTTGAGAGGGCAGAAGTATGTAAGTAGGCATGACTAGTGAAGTTATGTGCCAGATTGTAGCCTTTGCTGCTGCTACGTAAAACTAGATGTTAACAGCAGTTTGGGGTTTGAACTACTGAAAATCAGATATTAGTGCCCTCCCTTCTTCCTTTAGCTGGTACTTGTTTCATAAACCTTCTCAAATGACTTAAGACCACTCTGCCATGTCAAAATTCTAGATGGCTGAGGCAGCATCCTTCAGAGTCGTGGGTGCTGCTTGGTTCAGGATTTCCTTGGAACTGACCATGAAAATGGGAGCTGTATTATTCTTAGAGCTTTCAGGAATGAAGTGACATCCACTTACATCTCCACGCTTGTCCTATGAATTCAAGTATATGCTCACAAGAGTAGAAGAGTATGGCATAGCTAATTAATTTATATTTGGCTGAATTGTATTTGCAAAAGTGCTGCCTTTGCCAACATTCTTTCTTAATGAAAATAGAAACAGATGTTTGTTTTTTTTTAAATAAACTATAAGTTACAGATTTTGTAAGAGGCCTCAGAGAAGGAAAAATCTGTTTTCCTGGAGAGCTCCTTGGCCTAAACACAAATGAATGTGTTCCTCACTGTCTCAGAAACAAGAAGGCAAATATGTTTAGAGCTGAGAAACTTAGACGGATTCAGACTGTCATCTGGTATGCCTTACACTGTCACAAATTCACAGACTTCAGTGGAGGTATGTGGATTTAAACAGCTGAGAATGTGAGCATGTAGATTTTAATCTGCGTATTTTTATGTCAGCCTTGCAGTGATGCAACATCTTGCTTAGCAGAAGCATCTTTGTTACAGCACAGGAAAATACATAAAGCCTTTGATTTCTTTCTCATCCAGTGAAAGTTTGATAGGAAAATGGAATTTCATCAATGAATATGTAAGGAAGAAATGATGATGAATGATTGAATTTGCATTGATGCAAACCCAGAATAACTTTACTAATCCAGTTGGATTATTTTCTCTGTAGACTCACACTTTATGATGTCATTTATGTTGCATAAAGTAAGAGTGAGTAGAATACTGCTTGGTTAGGGGGTTCCATTCAGCAGCTTTTCAAAGATGTGAAAAACTACACCCAGCATGAAGCATGGAGTTTTATCTTTATTATTTCAGATTTATATTTCTGTAGCTAAAATCAAGGTCTGTTGTTTGTCCTGTACATATAAGGCTTGGCATGCAGGCACAGCACTGCATTAATAAATAATCATTCTGAATTATTTACCAACTGTAAACAGCTTTGTGCTGTACTAATAGAAAGAGTTCTTAGCAAAATGCATCTGCTGAAATGGAAGCTATCAAAAATTACCTAAAAAGTATGTAGATCGTACTCTTAAGATGCTGAGAGTTCATTCACAAGACTTCCAACAATGAAGAGAAATGAAAAATGGGTGTTCAGTTTTAACTTGCATTAACATTTTGTCTCTTTCCTTGTGTCTGACACTTGTCTCTGCATTCCTATACATAGAAATGCCTGTTCTTTTGCATTCTGCGCATTACTTTGTTCCTTTTAATAGCTTCAGACCACCTGCTCTGTGGTCACCCTGAATGTCTTCCTACATTCCCAGTGCACTCCCTGAAGGACTTTCCTGCTGTAACTCATTAAATCAAGGATGGTTGCTTTTGTGTTCTAGATATCTGTGCCAGCTAAATGTTCAAATGGGAAGGGTTTCTCACGGCCAGCCCGACCTGCAAATAGACGTCTACCTTCCAGATGGGCATCCAGATCACCATCAGCACCTCCAGCTGTGAGAAGGACAGCGTACAACTGGTCTGTCTCCTTTCGGTCGGAGACCTCAGTAGTTTGAACCCAGAAATGGGTTGGATGGTGTTGTGAAAGCTCTGCACCTCATTATAACTGTGTTCGGTATGTGTTGTAGCAACCAGATCTACACTGTCCTATCTTGTTCAAGAATGACTCCATCACATGCTGGACAAAATGTTTTGAATCTTAGGTCATCATCATGGTCTTCAGTGTTTTTATTGAGAGGAAACAATGATACCCCCGGTTTCTCCTGTTTTGTTTTTTTTGTTGTTGTTGTTTTGTTTTGAATACTAGCTCACAGAGAATTTATTTTGAGTGGCATCTTTCTTACTTCGCCAATCAATTTTGAGTTGAAACAGTGTATAGTGCTGTATATTCTGACTCTTCTGCAAACAGCAGAACATAAAGCTGTATGCATGATCATGTGTTTGTAAGTGCATGTGTTGGACTAAGAAGTATACAGGTCTGTACTTAGAAGAGACAAACTGTGCTAGTGTTGCCATTGAAATTACAACCTATATGCCAACATATATATATATACTTTGTGTTTATTATAAAAGTTTGAAATATACAGTCCTGATGACATTTATATTTTGTATATCTTTTACATAGGTTCACAGGTGTAGTATTTAATGTACAAAAACTAAATATGCATTTTTGTGACTCTAATTGCAGCGATAATGCCTTGCACAATATGTATCTGAAGCAGACTGGCTCGACTGATTTATCAGTCATGCTTCATGGCATCCTTGTTCAGTTTCCTAACCCTTATAGGACGAGGTCAAAATACCCAAACATATTTTTTCTGAATTAAAATATTATATGATTTGTAATACACAGCCTTTTTCAACACCAGAGACATTCCTGAAATGTTCTGATCTCTTTAAAATGTTTAAGCGTGCCATTATATATATAGCATATTGTAAACAGTTCAGCAGTTCCAACTAGTGTAACATACAGTTTATGAAGGGAAGAAAAGGGTTGTATGTGCTCAATTCTGCAAAACTTATTTTTTCTTCTAGCATTATACTTTGAGGTTTGGCAAAGTCAGAAAACAATGGACTTGTTTACTTTTCACTCAAGGCAGGAGAACAAGGACTGTTGTTCCCAGTGCTGCAGACACACTCCTTTTTTATTCTCCTCCTAGACTGGAGTGCCTGAGCCGCTTGCTAGCAGCATGCTGCTCCCTAACTGACTTCTGACAGTCAGTAATGAAGTTTACTTGCATTCTAGCAACATCCACATCTAGTATGGAAGTACTGCATCGAGATCTCATCACAGTAGTGCCAGAAATTCTCAACAAATGGCATCGGAAGTGTTACTGCCTTCACTTGAGTCAGTATTATGGGCCATCACAATGATGCGTACAGAGCTTGGCTTGTTCTTTCCCACAGTGTGAAAGAAGTGCAGATGCTGCCCAGACTCTTGCTGAAAAGATGGTGTCCATCCTGGAATTTTTTGCACCCTTTTCTAGGTTGTTGCTGAATGCGCAGGGTAGTGACGATGATAAATGGTACCTCTAAACAGCATGTCTAGGTGAAAAGGAGTAAAGAGGCCCTTCTTCAACATCAGCTTAATCTTGTCCTGCAAATTTCCTTCTTCTTCTGGAGAAATATAGTGTGTTCAAAGGAGTTTCAAAAATCATCCCAAGCTCCATTAATACGTGCATCTTCATATGTGAATGTAAAAAGGATTTCAGAGAGAGCGTAGGCTTTTGTCCTAGTGAATTGTATGTTTGGCAATATATGGAAAATTAGCTGTGCTTAATCTGATAGTGATATGTTGTCTAATCCCAGTCATGCTGAGATCCCTCACCTTTTTTCTTCTTTTCAGGGCCTTATTCTTCTTTTCTGTATGCAACTGCCTTTTTGCAGAGTAAAAAGCAGACAGCTATGTGTTCTGAACAATGTACTCTCTATTGTAGGATCAGTAACTTTTCAGGCATGCCAGAGTTGGATTGAGTAGGCGTTAGAGCCATAAATCCAAAATTGCATGCAGAATCATGGCTGCCTACATGGCAAAAACATGCTCAGACTAATTTGGCTCATCTAAACTTTCTGGCACTTTATGTGTGAGTATATATATGAAGGCTTCAAGCAGATCAACAATGAACCAAAAACAGCTCAGATTTTATTGCAAGGTTATTACTAGAAAAGACAGAAGGACAGAAGACCTTGAAGAAAATTCGTACATTTTGGACAGAGATAAAAATCTGTGTTTGAATGAAAAATGAAGAGTAATATAATTTTTTCTCTTTGCCCTAATTTAGAGATTGCACTCTGTTGAAGTCCTTAGAACTAGAAAGATTAAGATGACTTACAGTGAATTTGGAACATTAAGATTCTCGTAACTATGAAAACTAGCATACCAAAATACCTTGCAAATTGACCTTTCAAATGCCAAAGTAGTCAGGAGACTTTAAATGTCTGTAGCTGAGGAGAGGGTAATATGAGAGAATGGTAAAATTATGGTTCTTTATTTCAGTCACAATCAAAACTCTCAATTACCTTCATGGTAAAGTTATGCAACTTTATTCTGAAAAATGGGTGGTGCACTTTTCTTTTGAGAACATAATACTGCAGAACCATTTCCATCAGTTAGTCAATGGATGTGTTTCTTTTGCGTACTTAACGTTCTTTGATCACTTTTGACATAGTCACGTTTTTGAATAACAGAGAAAGGATCAAATATCTACAACATTCCCTTATGTATGTAAGTTTAATGAACAGAAGATTTTTGAAATAAACTAATAGGTCAAGGATAAGTTCATTTTGTCAACGTTTTCTGTGTCCATCAAATTACAGACATTGGTTCTGATGCCTGAAAGTATCAAAACTGGTGATTTTCATCTGTAGGTTTGCTGGATATATTGATTTTAGAAACTTGCCACTGAGGCTGTTGAAATATTCTCTTCAACCATACCCATAGGTACAGGACCTATATACTGTGGCAAGTTTTTTGTTTCCAGAGCAGGGATTACTGAACCATAGCACTGGTTTTATTGTACATGTTTGCTGTAGGAAGAGCTCCAAGTTCCCCCATATGATCTTTGACAGGAAAATGCATTTATCTTGGAAGTCTCAGGCAAAGGTGGCTCTATATGCCTGCACACAGGCATACTCATGGAAGAACAACTAATGACCTAAGCATTGACCTTCCTTTAATATTGGGGTCACCTATGGAAGCTGATAGTTTTCCAAGTTATTTTTTAAAATAGGATTTTATTATTCTTCAATATGACATCTGTATGCCATCTTCCTGGGGAAGTGATGGAGTTACTTTCCCTGGAGGTGTTCAAGAAATGTGTGGATGTGGCACTGAAAGACATGGTTAGTAGGTATGGTGGTTACTGACTGATGGTTTGGGCTAGGTGATGTCTTCCAACTTTAATAACTCTATGGTTCTATGATGAAGTCTTAATGCAGATACAGATTGTTCTTACCTGCGCTCTGAATGAGTCTATGGTCTTGTTATGGCATGGTTAGGGACATTAATACTGAAACGCAGCAGGAAATTTTCAAGGTGTAAAACCCTTAAATGGAGTTACAGAGAGGACACTTGAATCAATGCCCTCTCACACACAAAAAGCCAGCTGCTCACTGGCACATTTACAAGCTGTCAGAGCTAGGGGATACCACTGGGAATCAGCTGGCTGGTGCTTAGCTGATGGAAGGGATTGTTCTCTGTTGTGGTTGGAGATGGAGGCATTATCTTTCCTTCAAACTCCTAAGGAGGAGCATGGAGGGGCAGAGACATTGACTTAATCAGACCATGCCTACAGATACAGCATAGCAGGCTATCCCAGTTCTCAAAAACTGGGCTGGCTCATGGCTTTTGATAGAGGCAGAAAGAGTAGAGGAAAAAAGATGTACTTTTAAGCTTATGGATATCATTCTTCAAAGTCAGTGTATATTCCCACTGAATATTTCATCTTTACAGTGTTAGTGATAGACTTTTATGTATGTTTAAGATGTTGCTGAGGGATGAATTTTGCATGTTCTCCATCGACAATAAAATTATCTTTTGACTATAATACATACTGTAAAGGAGTTAGCTGTTAGATATAGAAAAGAATCAGCAATCAGCAGAATGTAATTTTCCAGAGCATTCAGAGCACCAGTTTATTTCTGCAGTTGTTTTTGTTGCTGTTTTTCTTTTTAAGAATTTGTTTCTGTAAATAGGGATTTTGTATCCAATGGCTCAACAGCAGCTCAGCAAGCTCTACAGCAGCTCAGCAGGCAGGCCATTTCCCTTGGAGTTTTGTTATTTCTGGACCAAGCCTAAATTTCCTAGCATGCGAGAACTTATGCAATTCTCACACTGTTGCTATGCAAACAATTCCTTTAGCTTTGAGATCTGTAATATACAGCTCTAGCTGTTACACTTTTGATATTCTCTATTGAACAAATCTGTTGCAGTCTCTTTGATTGCTTAAATGCTCTTTAAACTGGAGGGCAGAATGCATTTGCTCTCAATGCACTAAGTCAGTACCCCTTTGGCCTTTCCATCCCTCCTTGATCCCAGTGAATGTTTACTGACATTGCTCTTTATGTATATGCCATACCATGAGACTTTCTACTTGTATTGATGTCAAAATATTTTGGGACAGCCTATTCTTAAAAATGCTGGTATTATTATAGCCATTCAAAAACATATTAGACCTTAATCTATTGTTTTGCATCACTGAAAATACAATTTTTTCATCAACTGTTAATGGCATATGTTATATAAAACTTGTTGCTCTCGCTTTTTGAAATGAGGATTGATGTGCTTGGCCTCTAACCCTTGCCCATACACCTTTTCTGTTTTGCATAGTACTTGTATCAGCAGAGGTGTGTTTCTGATGTACGTGGTTCATCCTGTCATTGTGTGGCTGTGGGAGCTCATACCTAAGGGTGCCTTGGTAGTTGTATACCCTAAAATCAGCTGTATCAGATTTTCCCTCGGGGAGGAGAGCTTGAACCCTCAATGAGTTCAAAGTGGAAGTGTACAAATAAAAGTCAGAGGAAAACAGATCAATTGAGTAGGAGAGTGTAACACTTGTTAATGCTGTGGCTAGTTCTTTGCTTCTAATGCAAGATCCATGTGTTCTGCCTATTTCGAATCTCCTGGAACCTCCAGTAATGTACTCTTTTCTCAGTCAGCATCTTTCTATGTATCCTTTTCCCATTCTGTGAACTTGTAGTAGCAAGAAATATTGAAATGTATGTTAGATTAACACCAGTCCTTCCTCTTTCCATATTTGATGGTATGATGTTTACTGAAGTATTTTAAAGTTTCATTTGTTAATCCTTTCATTGGCAGCAGTTGGTTTTACCAGCAGGTACATGACAGTGCTCATAGCATGAACACTCCTGAATGCAAAACAGATTGGAGCTTCCACGCACACAGGATTCCCAGCACTGAGCAAGGGGACACTCTGTCATGCTGCTAAAACATAGAGATTCCTGGAAGATGAATGTAAACCAACATTTTGCTTGAATACAACCAGAGCCAGACTGTATTTCATCTCCACAGGTTGTGCCAGGAAGCATGATGAGAGTACAAGCAAAGTCAGTTCCTTAGTACAGG